TCAAATGAATCCTAAACTAGATTTGTGATGTCACTGAAAGCCCAAATATGGGCAATAATAATCTCATTTACGCATACTTTCTATTTGTTTCATCTGTACATGGTGCGTATATTTTTTAACGAGATGAACTAATCGTTGTGACGGCAAATCAACGTACTGCTCCATCGCATCCACTGCATTGTTGTAAACCTCACTCTGTACCTTCTCAGATGCCACGCCTTTCTTAAGAGCACGCTGGTTACGTTCCCAGTCCAACCGTGTGAACATAATGGCCGAATCCTGCTCACGACTTGGTAAGTTTGAACCATAACGTCCGGAGGTTGCGGCAGCTGCATTCAATTCACGTTGCAGTTCAGTTATCATATCCTGCATCTCCATCATAACAACATTATGACTAAAAAAAACAATTAAAAAACATTTCAAACATGGCTATAATTATAATATTATTATACATCTGTCACCGTAATGCCATAAGTTACAGCGTGCCGTAATTTTGCGATATTTTACGGGGTATTTTCTTCCTATCATATTAGGAAATGCGAATTCCAAATATGGAATGATTATGCGTGTAAGTGTCCTCTAATAATAAAAACAAACATGGCTGCCACAAGGGTTTGACTGGACTCCATACAAAGAAGTTCGCTGATTCTGTTCTAAACTTTCTAGATTTCAGCATTCCCATGATGTATCCTTGATAGGAAAAGATGTATAATAATAAGGTTATTATGAAGATACCTCAAAGTATGCACTCAGACAGTACTCTGCCGCATCAACCTTCGTGCATACTTTGAGGTAACCTCGTAATAACCTTATATTATTTTTATATTGTGCATATATTCGTAGCATATTTACACATGTAACTTTCAAAAGTATTTTTATGGAGGGTTTGAAAGATTGCAGGATGACATTTTGAGTTTTTCAGAGCATGGTTTTTCCAGTTTTTTATATCAGATCAGTTCTTTCCTAGATTCACTAATTTGCAATCAAATTTCTAGAAATGTGGGTTTCTCTTGGGATTTCGTGATCATCTCACAATTCATGTGATTTCATCAATTCTCGCGAGATCTTCATCTTATATCACACCCCTTGCTTACCCTTATCTCATAAACCCTCGGTTTACAATATGTTAATTAGTGTCAATTATTCAAGATTTGGGAAACACTTACCCGGTACTTCAACTGTTCTTCATATTCCTTTTTGTCTCGTTTCTTCTCATCTTTACTGTAATGACAAACATAAACACAAGATGCATTAATATAAATACAAAATACTTTTCTAAAAAAAGGTAAATGTATTTTACATGAATAATCATAATATGGAATCCTTAACCAACTCCACACAAGAGGGCGCCATTTTTCTAAGAAAAAATGACGGAATTTATTTTGATCAAAATTTGAAAGGGAAAACTGATTCGCTAATTCAAGATGTCGCTAATGACTTTATTATAAATTCTTAATGGCCGCCAAACGTCTTCTTTTCTCCACCGTACTGACATGATGGATAAACATTATTGAAATGTGCTTTTTAAATCGCTGTTGAATCAGTTTTTTTATGATTGCAAACAAAATCAAATTACACTTGACAGTTTTTCTTTGTTTTTATGGAGATGATAACTGCGTATTTGTTTTGATGCGTGACAGACAAGTATTGTGAAAACAGGAAATCAACAATGACAAGAGAGATTCGCTCAATCAACATTTCACTATTACGTCATTTTACCACAATTTGCTAAAATTGCATGTCGCTTTTTCAACATGTTTTACAGTATGTTGTGGGAAGTGGCAAAAGATTTTTTATAAGACACAAATCGGCTAGTTCCATAACAAATTTGAAAACCAATATTCACAAATAATAACTTTTTTTGTCTGTTCAGTTCAACAAAATTGATGATGAAATTTGAAAAAAAGTTCCGAAATATTGTAGAAATATTTTTGGCAGGAAAAACATTAAGGACTATCACAATGAATGTTAAAATGGCAATATTTCAACTTTTCGGCAACTTTTACAAGAAATACTGTATATACTTTATTTTAGCTGCTATTTATTTTCTCTGAAAAGACTTTTAGGCTGTTTTGTATGGAGTTTATTTTCATGAGTTTTGATGAGTTGAAAAACATAGAAAAAAACGATATATTCGGTGGATTTCATTTTCACTGAATCATTTTTTCAGCGAAAATAGCAAAATTAGTTCCAAGCAAAAATAACGTATTTTACAGTATATCCAAGAAAATTATGTAACAGCAAATTATTAAAATATAACTCTGACACCAGAGGGCGCAGTGCGGGTGCATTTCAACTTACAGTTTACTGAGTGCATCTTGTAAATCCCTCACTACAAGTTCTGTCATGGAGGACATGTTGCTTTCTTCTCGATGTACAGACTGCGTATCGGCCGCCATTGTTGGCTGTGAATGCTGTGTTGTCAGCGTCTGATTGGTCGTTCCACGTGATCCCAGCGACGACACTCGTGGATCCTGTTTTCGAACACTCACAACACGTATTGGATAATTAGTCTCTGAATTATCACTATTCGTATCGTTGCCATTAACATCTGATTACGCTCCGTGCAGACAGATAATTGCAAACTTGGTTTCTGAGTCATTGGTCTCGTCGGCCGATAAAAACTAGACTGACGAGACCAACCAGTTCGGGTCAGTCGCTGGGCAGTTTCAGATAAATTCTTCCTGCCAGGCTGTCTAGCCGGTGCCGTCTTTGCGCGGCCGCCATGAAATGCGCACTTCCGTCCAGAGCACACCAACATAACTGAAGATTTCAAAATTAATAATACGAAACTTTGTATCTAAGTAAGCCTTCCAGTGTTACAGCCGTGTAACCATGTTGTGTTCGTTTTGTCGTCTACATGCCGATTATTCTATGTAGTACATATCTAATAACAACATATACTCCTAAAAGACAGTTAGTTTTTATGACGCCCCATTGCGGCCTTTGAGTATGCATACTATAATAGGTGAGGCCATACAAAACAAATGTATTGTTATGCGAATCATCATGGTGTGAATTTTATGTGGTGATTTTTAGAGATGTCTGTGACTTCATTCGATTTGTGACATTTTTATGGGATTATGGGAAAAATATATCATTATATGTTTTGTAATTCTCAAAGCAACACAATTTTTTGAAGTTTTGATAGAAATTGAATTTAGGAGCAGTTTTGTGAATTAAAATTATTTCATTATCAAGGCTTGATCTTTGGAGTTGAGAAAGCTCCCTTTTTCAAGGCCAAAATTTGATAAAACTGCCTTGGTGTATATATGTAGAAAAAAAATAGGGTATGTTTGTAATTTTTAGAAAGGCATCAAGGCAAACTTTGAGAACATTTCATGACCTCTAAAGGTCACATATCCTGGTACTTTCGTAGAGATGAAAATCAAAAAAGTTTTCATTTTAATTTATTTTATTGATATTTTATTGATTTCCTAGACTTAACTATCTGTTTTAGCGACTAGAGTAAAATATTAGTGTAAGAAATAGAAATATTTCTGTTAGGAGCACATTAATATGCCACAATTTTGTATGTTTGTGATGATGTCATACCAACGAAAGTACCAGGATGTGTGACCTTTAGTGTTCATGAAAATGGTCTATTTTTAATACCTTTGATTCCTCTACGATGTTCAAGTCATAATTTTTCTCATTTTGGTGCAAAATTGCGCATGTTTTGTTGTATTTCTAGTTTTGTTTTGATAACTCACAGTGACTGCATGGCGATTGATGAATATAAAATGCTCTCCACTTTTACTGACACAATTATGCATGCTAATATTCTAGGAATATTCATCAGATTATGGTAATACTGCAGAGGTTGAACATCACAGAGGAATCAAATGCAATAAGCTCCTTTCATGACCCCTAAAGGTCACATATCCTGGTACTTTGTTAGTATGACATCATCACTAACAAAAGATTTTTACACAAGTAACTGAAACAAATACTCAAGTCTTGGAAATTGTGCTGAAAAATGGATAAAATAAACCCATTTTTGATTTTTATTCTGACAAAAGAACCAGGATGTGTGACCTTTAGAGGTCATGAAAATGAAATATTACAACTGTTTGAATGATTGAATATTCCTGGTTGAAATTTTGACAAAATTATTTTTTTGGATAATTTCTTGATTTTAGGCATAATTCCCCATTTCTGTTGACTACATTCGAGCAACAAATAAATGTGTTCCCAGGGATACCACAGTCAAAGCTACAAGTCAATAGGATTGTTGAGTGTTATGTGGGTTTGTTTTTTCATGATTAGTGCTCAACCCAGAACTATAATAATGCAACAAAACAGATTTTCACGCCAACTAAGGTTACATAATCCGTTTAAATACTTACAAATTCATTGTTGATAAGGGAAGACAGAATTTCTGATATTTCACGTAAAACTAGAACATAAAAAACAAAACAATCATTTACTACTTTGCAATTAACAGGACAACAATTGAGGGAATCAATAATTAGTAACCATGACAACAGACTAGCGAAAATAAAGCGGTTAACAGTATGGACAATGATGAGTGATTTTCCGTTCACTGTAAGACCTCGCGTAATGCCCGAAGGACGTGGATGAGGCGTCTGCCACATAAAGCAAATGATTAGTTTTTGAACTTTAATTTCTCTTTCTTATTGTTCAACGTCGAAATATGGCGTTGAGATACCTTTACTTCATCAATATTGTCCATCATCAAATGTATATAGCACATTAGTAGGTGTAAAAACTCAAAACAATATTTTCGCATTTGTTGAATCTTTGACTAGTTTTTACGCTTGATTTCACGGATAAAACGAGTGAACAGAAAATGATATATTGAGGGAATCAAAGAGTAACCATGGCAACAACAAAGCA